CTCAATAAAGCTAGAGAAATATAATTAAGAAGCCAATTCACAAGGAGTGGGCACTAAGTAAATGTTTAACCTGGAGTGATCAGAGAAGGCTTCACAAAAACAAAAAGATAAAGAAAAAGAACAAAAGAGGAACTTGCTACACACAAGGCAAGAAAGGCTATTCCATAATGGGCCGAGGTTGGGGTTGGGCTTCATCGGGACGGTGACGGGAAACGTTGTTCTGGGCAAAGTCATACGACCAGACTGTCATTTCCCGACGGGAGCTCAGGGGAGCACGGAGGGCAGGAGTCTCTCCAGTGTGACAAGGAGGCTACTGGGATTAGGACACAACATGAAGGCCTGGCCCCGGGAAGTGGAAGCGAAAATGAAGGGCGGGAATAGATTAAGAGAGAGGCGAAGAGGCAGGATGGGTGAGACTAAGAGGCTCGTCTGGTGCAGGGGATACGGGAGGAGAAAGCCTGCAAGACGGCTCCCAGGCTCGGGCAGCTGTGTGGGAATACGGTCAGCACGGATCGGCACCGGGAACAGAAGAGGCGGAGGTTTGGAAATTGGGGGGAACAATGATTTCAGGTTGGAACATACTGAACTTGAGGTGCCTCCGGGGTGACAGTGCAGAGAACCGCAAGAGGCCACCGGACGCACAGGTCCGGACTTGCCCCTGGCGGGCACGTGCCTGAGCAGTAAGTAGCTGAATCTGCGGAGAGTAGGCAAGGAGTAGAGGAAGAACCGAGAACAGCGGGACCCCAGGTGCCACAAGAGCCAGCAGGGCCAAAGGAGAAGGGAGGTGTCCGCAGATCAAAGTGACGCGGATCCAATGACACAGAGCTGAGAGTGCTTCACAGTGTAGCAGAAAAATGTCAACGTCGAATATCACAGCAAAGCAAACCAAGGCTGTCTGAAGATCAGCGTTTGGATATTTACAAGTACACAAAATGACTTTCAACCCAAAAGCACTACCCAAAAGATTTAAGATTAAGAACCAGACTGGGCTGTAAGAAAAATAAAATAATGGAAAAAAAAAAAGAAGCTCTGTGTGAGCTTCGACGGGGGGGATGATCCGTGCAAGGGGCCTGCGCCCCCTCAGCAAGGGGCGGAGGCCGGGCCTCCCGCCAGGGCCACAGCGGGGTAGACGAAAGGCAGACACCTGCCTCAAAGGCGGCCACCGTTTGGGCTAGCCTGTGCAAAGTGAGATTGTCTCTCCTGAAAATGCACAAAGAGGCACAGAGATTGGACTTGAATGTTCTTGGGCTTTTGAAGTGAAAAGCTGTTTTGGAATTGGGGCCAGACTTGGTCCCCTGGCAAACCAAAGTCACGTACACGCTACAGTTATGGGCGACGCAGTCACAGAAAGAAAGCAAGGACGCTAACAAAGCGATCGTAAACAAGACACTGCGGACGTGGGGAGACGGAGAGGAGGAAGAGACGGCCTCA